AGTCGAATATGAAGGGGTATGTGTCTATCCAGTCAACGTGTTTGCAGCATGCTGTAAGCTCGGCTCGTTTGAGAATTCCAACGGCGAATCGAACTTTGTCCTTCGTCTGGTTTGGGTCGCGGCAAGCAAAGAGTCTCGTAGTCGTCTTCACTAGCAAATCCCCTTCGCTTGACACCCTACATTCAAAGCCTTGTTGGACGTTGGCTTCCTCTCTTTTATAGCAGTAACCCCAAATAGTAGCATTTTCTAGGAGTATTGATTGAAAGAAGCCCCTTTTATCGCGTTTCGAAACTAGGAAGGCCTTGACCATATTGAAATGAAAATCGTATGGAAGGTAGGGAGACGACAATCTCTGGTGCTGGTCCTCTGAGACTGCTTTGACGCAGGGGCGATCTGATTCGGTCGGCGCCCAACTTGAGCTGTGGTCGACTGGCGGAACCGATAAGACGGGATCATGGAAAATCTGACAGGGCAAACAAAGAATCTCCCTGCGTGTGTTGATGGCGTCCCTCTCTAGTAGCTTCAACAGATCCAGACGTTCACTAGACCCCCGATTTAGCCAAAACTGCTCGTTTGACATGATTGCCAGCATTCTTTTGCTCGTCAATGCCAAGGCCACGCGTTCGGCCATAGTGAGGTGTTTGGCGATGGCCAGGTGCAGGTTGAGTGGCAGGGCGTGATCGAGACCGGGTCCTAAGTCCGACTTCTCCTTCTTGGGGTGACTCGGCAAAGCTTTTGTCCATCGAAGGAAGCGGCGCAAGACTAGAGGTTGGGCCGCGTCTTTTTTCAGCCCATCAATAGGCTGCGCAACCTTGGCGTTCGAGTCCGATGCTTGTAGTGACTCTTCACATGCGTTGGCTGTTGTGTGTGGAGCTGAAGACAAGTTTTGCGATTCAGCTTGAGCCTCATGGAAAGGATTTGTTTCTAGACAATTGTCTTTCCGTCAAGCTGCAATTTCTCTGTACGATCTATTAGACCGAATGAGATGCGGCATTGCCGCTACGAGTACACTCAAAGCCATGTTCCGTTTCTGAAGCGGTGAATGAATAAGTTAGGGAAATCCGACAAGGCGAGACGACTCTTCAGTGTGCAAGCTGCAGTATTAGGAATAGCCACAAGATGTTAGGGATATGTTGACCATAAATGCCCTAGTATGTAAGGTAAGTGTGAGTTTAGACCGCGCCCATCAGGGCTCATGTGACTCGTCACCTGTATTCATTTCGTCAAACTATCAGGGTCTTCGGAGATAGGCTTAACGCTTGACTTTCAAGTGACCCTTTCCTCAGGCTGTCAAGATGTCAAAACGTATATTGGCCCCTTATTAGTTTCAAAGTTTAAAACTACTTTGAGCACCTTGAAAAAAACATCTTGACACTCCGTCGGTACCTGGATAGGCATTTTACGGGTGTAGCGGCCTGTGGACTGCGCATGCCGCGAGAAGGCGACTTTGGCAGCGTAAATGACAGGACTAGCAGTTCAGGCCAGAGGTTCTTCAGACTTCACGACCAAAAATTCAAAACATTTCAAGCCAGTCCAATCAGCTAGGCACAGTGGATTTGTCTCCCTGTTTCAGGTCAAATCACCATGTGGCTAATGCCGGGACAAGATGCTGGGGTAAGATGCTGGGGTAAGATGCTGGGGCAAAATGTTTCGATCGTGTTCTTTATTCAATAAGCCGGAAGGATCTCCTCAACGGCCTGTGAACGACGGATGTTGCGTTACGTACCTTACATTACTTAAGTGGAAAGCAGGATAGACAAACATCTTTCGCCGAGCGGGAAGCTGGCAGGGCTCTTTCCCGTGAGTGACCTGGAGATAGGACCAGAAGGTCCTATGCCGAGCGGCGGTGGTTTCCAGATCTCTGAGTAATCATTTATGTGTCAAGAGCAAGGCAGGATTCCCAAGAAAGTGAGGTGGAAGTGCCATTACGTCACAAATCAAAGAGTGATTGGCTTGGCAGGCACACAATCTTTCAAAAAGGTAATGGACTTCTACGTGTGGAAGGACCATCATCTACGATATGAGAGTCAATATTAACTCGAAGCTACGACTGCCAATCTGAATCTCACACAGTCCAGTCGATCCGTTCCTCAGGGGTGCAATTTCGGAGAATCCTTTACGACTGAGAATTCGGAATTGTCTGCTCTATTTGCCCATCCTTTTTCCTTAGCTCCGTAGGTGGACTTTGTTACTACTGCCGACATTGTCCGCGCCACACTCATCCTTCTTTTCGGTTCAGGACCGTTGTTGATTTAGTGGCTAACAACTTATCTCCAAGTCATCTATGCAACAGTAATCTGGGCAGAATCTTAGGTAGGCATGAAGGGCAAATGCCGCATGATGCAAGCAGCTTTTGTTCACTGCTCCCGAAACGCAGCCTTAGCTGTCGGAAGATAGCCAGACCTCCCTCATGATTCTTACATTTCTAAACGAATAAGAACTTCGTGACGGCTCCTGTACCGATTCCACTCTCATCTCCCCTTACCTACCCTGGCATCAAGGCTGTCGAGATGACTGGAAAGTAAGTCGGGATTACCGGTCCATTGGCTCCCATAGGCCCAGACCTGAATACCTTGGGACAGCTTGACGCCTTGACACCTTAACAGGGTGATCTATCTATTAGGGGAGCGTACTTCCAAAATGATCTCCCACTCATCCCTAACTTCTCGCCGTACTGTCTCATACCGAGATCTCCTTATCGCCCTTTTCATCATGACCTCCACCTATACCAACATCACCACCACAATTTGTAACGGATTAGGCTATTTGTTTCGGCGAATTCTGCAAGTCATGTAATGAAAGTATCTCAGTGGGATACCGCTAAGGATTGGTTTACTTGTAAGGATAGCAGCCGTCATGTGATTATGTGGTCAATTACTTTACGTGTGCATTGGACGGTGTGCCATTTGCTACCCATAACATAGGGCCAACAAGTCTTCGCGGTGCAAAATACTAAGCTGCTCCTGAAGCCTAATATCATAAGGCTTACCACTACTGCTCTAGTGTGAACAGTATCTCCGAAGGGTTGCCGTCCGTTACAGAGATTCCCGCGATTCCCTTGCCAGCCGCCTTAGCCACTTCTGAAGCCACCACTCCGTAAGGACTGGCCATCAAGGTGTTCCATCCCTTCGTCTCACCGAGGTCATTAGTCGTAGTGAAACCTCCGGCACTCTCTCCAAGCTCAGTGCGTGCGTTGCTAATCGCGGTTTGGGTCGCCGGGTCGACGACTTCGGAGAACTTGATGGACGTAACCTCGTTGATATCCAATGTCGTGGCTGTCCAAAGCTGTGTAATGACCGAGCTAAGACTGAGGCCAAGGGGAACCTGGCTTGCCCACGCTTCATTGGCAACAATTCTGTACCCGTAAACATCGCAAAGGACCTTCATAATAGCTTGTTCGCCGTTTGTGAAGCCATCGGTGTAGATCGCCTTCCAACGTCCAAGATCCTTCACGGAGTAGTCTGAGCCGCCAGTTGCGCTGCCCTCCTTTGCCGTGAAGGTGAGCTCATATCTGGTAGATTCATCTGCTGTAGCCGAATTGTGGAATGCTTGGCGCATATCTGCCTTCTTTGCCGGCTTTCCCGGAGGCTTCAACAGCTCCGCGCGCGTATCGTCGACTGTGAAGCCCTTTGGTGGTCTAGGTCGGGGCTCGGTCGGCTCGACTGTTTCAGTAACATTTCCCTTGTACCAGTATACTGCTCCGCCATTGCTGAGTCCGAGGGGGATCAACGAGTTGATATCGATAATAAGACCTCCTTCTTCCTTTGACTCTCGCAGTACGCAGTCTGCGATAGACTTGTCCGACCTTGAATCATATCCACCCCGAGGCAGAATGTAGCCGACCTGGTCGAAGTTGCCGTTGGCGGGAATCATCCAGATATTGTCTTCCTTGTCGTAGCCAACCACACCGCAACGGATACGGTTACCAGTGGCCTTTTGGAGGACTTGAAAAAAGGTTAGCTACGGGATACAGCTTCGGAGTTTGGCCTCGGTGGTCAGGACTGGTGTCAAGACTTACCAGAGCCATCTTTATCGCCACCGTCGACTACATCGGCGGGCAGATACCAGGGATCAACCTTTCCCATCGGTTTCCAGACAGCTTCGCTGTCATCTCCAGGTAGAAGGTCATCGGTTTGAGCCTTTACAGCAATCAGGCTGAATGCGCCCCAAAGGGCCAACTTTTGAACGTTGATCATGGAGTACTGCATGCTGGCCTGGGTTCAATGTTCAAGAGCAAATCTTTGAAGTCTCGCTCAGATGAAGCAGGCTATTGATGCTCGGGAATTCAAGAGTATTCGTATATACTTGTGCCCCTGCCATATCCGTGCATCCTCTCAGTCAGCTTAAGGCCTCATTTACCAGCAAACCATAAGAATGGGCTCAGGGCCACTATGGCGTAACTTTCTTTGAGTGCTTCCATACTTCGTCACTTTGGTTTTTTGACATCACTGTATTTGGGTTTGCCCAGGAATAAAAGGCAACTGTCAGGCCTCCGTTATAGCAAGTCAACCACCAAGCTATGAGAGGTTTGGTTGAAATTGCCTATGGGCCTAATAACGAAGGTAAGTTTTAGTCCCTTGGTCGCCTCACTGTGTTTCACCTCGCCAAGAATGCCGTTCGTGCTATTCGCTGACTGGGCGCTGTGAGTAAGTTTGTCGAAATAGATAGTCTCCGGTTCGGATATAGCCGCCAATTTGGGTTTCAGCGATTAATTCAACTACACTCCACTCCTGGTGCGGCTCCCCCGAATACTAAAGAGACGCTAAATGTCTGATTTCGCCTTAAGATGAGCTGCTCCCAACTTCCCAACTACCACCTGAAGCCAGGATAGAGTTTGCACTGCTTCCGAGGTGCCGAAAAAGTATGACTCGGGCGTGTTTCCGGTGAAGCCTTTCCCAACATCATCAACTTAAGTCACAGTAGCCCAGGGCCATCACTTGGCCTTCTGCTAAGGACTCATCGGTTATGCATGTTTGATTGGTTTACTCATTGCCTTCATCCTACGTGAACAACGCATGAGGACTGTCGAAACAATCGTCCCAGGTGTTTCCTGCAGAGGCATAAAATCTCTCTAGGACCTCTTTAGCTGCGACTGGAAGATAGATTCCCATCCTCTGACTGTCTTCCTTCATACGCCCCAGAACGAAGCTCCGCATGGACAGGTTTCCACTCTTCGCCTCGAACCCGGCTACAACCATTGGCCATGTGGTGCAGATCTTCAAGGCTGAAGAGGCAAGCGAGGCTTTGAGAAAAGAAAACAGCCTGTCACGATGGGTTTCCTTGACGGTCATCCAATCTTTCGAGAAAGGAATGACCTTCACACTTTGTAGAGAGGAAACACCGAACAGTGCCACGGCTGACCGATAGGTCTTGGCCATTAAGAGGTGTCCATCTGCTAAAGGTTCCGCGCTACTAGACCAAACTTCAGGTGAATAGTCCAAAATCTTATCTAAAAGACGCTCTGCTTCAATCCTGATCGAGGTGAGAGGTCCTCCAGACTGAATGCACGTTGCTTGGAAGCGAAGGCGGTTGATGTGAATGATGTCGATGAGTAAGTCGACTGGACATGGAAGCTGGGGATAATATCCAATCGAGAATACATCCCTTACTACATTCCGTATCTTGAAGTTTGCGACTGGCGATAATTGATCGTGGGCGGGGCTAGTTGTATTGGCGAGATTCTCGATGCTAGATGACGGGCCGGAGTTAGTAGCAGGTGACGTATGCCGTGATTACTACGCCGAAGCAAGGCTAGTATGTCCTAAACCTGGTGGACTTGATAACAAATTGTACAGGAGATACTCACACTTTACAGAATAACACTAGGGACTTGAGATGCGGCGACTTTTGGCAGAACGCATCCCAACCGCCACGCATAGCAATCAACGCAGCAAACCCATTCAAGTGGACACGCCAGTTAGGCTCTGTTGCACTCCCCATAAGCTACATTCCATCAGTGTCAGGTTGCGCATGGGGTGTAAGAGCATTTTCTCCCTTACATCACCGAAAAGGAAGACGATTACGCCAGCCAGAGTTGCATCAGAGCATCGCGTACTCTCGTTCTCGATGTCCTTATTTAAAGCCTGGATCGCTGTAAGACGATGCTGATAGGCCCTAGCTCTGACCTCAATTGCGTAAGCGTCATTCCTTGCAGGCGATAGGCGTGACATCCGGTGCTCGATTGCCATAGTGACTAGGCCATGCCGTCGGTATGGTTTCATAGCGTGGATGTGGGAAATTGGTACAACCCACGGGCTCTTAGTGAGCTGGTTCTCGTAGAAGTATGGGTAAACCTGTTCGTTCCCTATCCGAGGTGCTTGTCAGCCCAAATCTTTTGACCTGCTCAGGCAGATCCATTGGGATAGCATGGTTCTGGAGCACTGTTTGGAAGTCTGACTAACAATAAAGTGAAGCCTCAGCAATGTCGCATGTTTCCGTCCGGAGCTCTTGTCCGGGGAATACATGGATGAGCTGTACTCGGCGGCCTTCTTCTTCTGGAATTTTCGGTATCGCCTTTTTTTTGCCGCTGCCTTTCAAACCCTTCTTGGCGATGTCGATTTTATCAGTTTTCGGTTTTCGTCCGCCCCTCCATGTCCGCGTCGTGACCTGATTAGGGGCCACCCAGGTCAAAGGCTTCACATTCTCATACCCAGGGCACACTATGCCGCTAAGCTTACACCTGGAGCATACGGGACGTTTAGAATCGCAGACCAAGCCCCGGCGCTGACATTCCCAGCAAAATCGCCTGGTGCTGCCGCTGCCGGCGCTATTGTCGTCGAGGCTCTTTGACGCACCAGTAGAGGTGCGCGGCTCTGGTGATGGCGCCATCGATCTGACTGGGAGGCGGGAAAATGAGGGGAAAGACTTGTACGTTTTAGGTTATTGGAGGTATTGATAGGAATCGCCCGTATATATTGCCGGCCCGGGGTCGTTTCGTAGTACGTGTGCCTCCTGAGGGCGGGAGAGCTACCCGCCCTGCCCGCGTAGAAGAGGGGACGTGCCGCGGACGCCGGTGACTGGCGATGCGAGACACTCGGTGGATGCTTGCAGCTCTTGGCTCACTCCTTCTGCTGATCGGTCAAGGCCTCACAAAAACCATGTCTTTCCAGCTTGATCTAGGGGCTGGCTGCAAGGGACAGCCGATTGTGCGAAGAACAATGTCTGAACTAGAGCCGGAAGAGGCACTTTTTACTTTGTGGCAGTACAAAGCAATATTGGGCTTCTCACTTGTCTTGCAAGACTGGGAATAGGTATCTAGCCAGTTGGTTGCGTGAACCAGGGTTGTTGTGATGCATATTGGTTGCGCACCCAGCTTTAGTGAAAGTCCCAATAGGGCCTGCAGCATTCGATGTGTAACATGATGACGCAAGCCTGATTCTTCCAAGCATTTGTCGTAAAACCTGTTCCGAAGTGTAAGTAGTCAGAAAAAAAACCTGACGTTTTCGGTTAGACCTGCTTCACAAGTGTGGATGAAGCTTTCAACTTTTAATAAAATACCGGGGCTTACATCAGTTCTTAGAAAATCATTTGGAAGTGAAACCAGCCAGTCAGTAGTAGCGCACAAGACGGCGAAGATGTATAATGTCTGGTAGGACAAAATGGCTTCTTTGCATTTTGACTCGAAGAAACTCTACCTGGGTCACGCCCATAAAGTAGTACAGATCAATAGATACTATTCTTCTTCCTTCGCGAATCGTGCATCGTCTTGATTTGACTAAGTGCACGAAGAGCACATGCACGAAAGTCAACATCGACCGAACAACCCCGAAGATAGAACTTCGAGGATAAAAGAATCGTCTCCTCAAGGACTGTGACTTTGATTGGACCCGGTACCTTAGCATCTCAAAAGACAGTTAGAAGTATTTTCGTAGACTCGAGCAGATATTTGCTACAGACCGCCGATGTCTCCTTACAGGAACTTCAGCCCATGGAATCCGCACATTGTTACCTGAGGCCAATGCTGCAAAGGCAATAACAGATGGGTCTGACTTCCCAATCAAACTCAGTAGGGGTGTAAGGTATTCGATCGTAGAGCCCAGAAAATGGCTGGAACGCAGTCTTTACTTTTGTCAGCCATGTGCAGAGAATTGGCCGGCCCTTTGCACACAGCCGCGCGCGAAAGGACAGATGGTCTCCCCTGCCAAGGATCCGCGAAATCAGAATTGGCAAGTTGGATTCGTGTAGATCATCCCGAAAAGCGTCGCGTCTCCGGGGCATGACACATGTCAGGCTTGCCAGCCCACATCAGACCCTTTGCAGACGGACAGAGTCTTCGAGCTACAGTCTCGGCATTGACAGAACTTTATGTACTTTGACTACCATATCTTAGAGGGTGAAGAGATCATGCTTCTTTATCCGTGCTCAGAGCTGCTCCTCTTTCATATGATGGCATTGAGGCTTGTAAGCTTACATGGGCACCGAAGAGAAATCATGAAGTAGAAATTTTCCTCTCACGGAGATATCCGATGAGGCCTGTTGTCAACTAAGGTAGACTAACACCTGTTGCAAAGGATACTGTAGACACAGCTTTCTTGGCCATCGGCGGTAATTCCAAACTTGGTCTTGTCTCTTGAAGTTTCTTGAGGCTGTGCAACATTTCGGGCACGGATATCAGCCCATCTATGTAAGGTATTTGATACACTTCGCAATGGTCGCTAAGCAATGGAGACGCTGTGCAGGAATTGGCCGTTGAATGGCACACAAAAAAAACAGAAAAGAGTACAACGCAAAAGATGAAGCGTGAATTCTGGGCTTAGCTTAGATGTGGGATGGTATGTACACAACTTATGGTAGAGCATGTTGTATTTTGCGGCATCAGGTTGAGGTCATAGAAAGGAGATACAAGCCGGAAACCCCATTGCTCTAGGTATGAGAACAGCAAGTAACTGGCATTATGTGCCGACTGGTCAGGATGTATGTGGGTAAAGATTTGCCCGCCCCTTACAACTATACGCGGAAGGGCTCCGACGAGGTCCTTGTCTGTCAAGGTTAAGCATGCCATCGCGGGGGTGGGTACACACCTATTTACAGTTTAGCATCTGGCTAGGGTTCGTTTAAGGTGTCAGCCATCTGCATCTATCTCCACTATGCTGGTAAACTCCGGCTCTACTCTTTTGCGATCGTCGAGAGACGACGTAATCGCTCTCCTGTAATCTCGTCATTCCCTTAAGGACTTTCGGCGAGTTGACTAATCCGCCCGGTCTACATGACAGCCCTCTTCAGGTAGGCAAGACATTGTGACAGGTCATTTGTCAATATGTAAAAGGGCTTAAGCTTAAAGAAAGTGCCGTCTTTTTTCTCATTTGCGCGATTCATACCTTTGAGTTGAAATCCCTAAAGCCAGAATTCTGAACGAAGTAAACTTCGGGTACGGGTGGGGTTAGCCCTTAGGAAACGCCTTGTACCAAAATAATGCTCAGCCTGAAGTATCTAGCCGCAGGTCTCGCATAGTAGTTCGACCGGGTCCACCGTCCTCTCCACCGTTGCACAACGAGGCGGTAATCGAGTCCGCTATGCCGCGTTCCGAGACGGAAGCATATTGGCCCCGGGGTACTGAAGATCTCTGAAGATCTGACTGCCTATCCCGGTAGCCCTATAGCAGAAAACGTCCTCCCCGGTATGCTTACGTGAACTACTGCCGTGTCGTCGTTGTGCAATGATGTGACGGATACTTGATAACAAGAAGTGGGCTGTCCAGTAAATTGCCAGGGCTGTTCCACCCAGCAGTTGGCGCCACCTCAGGGGCAATGCTGGTGGTAGATAGAGCGTAGTCAAGGGGGGTCCCCATGCTACAGACAAGAGTTGGAGGCTGTGTGTCTCGTCGAAAATACCACCTCCCTCGTCCGCGAAAGGCAGGTAGACGCTACACCGAACGAGGATCAGATGATGGTATTGCTTAGTCCCAACGGTTCTAGTCTACAAGCTTGAGCTTTTGTCTAGCAGCAGCTTGTCAAAGGGGCAGGAGCATGCGACTTTGTGAAATACCTAGGTAGATACAGGCAAGGTCTGGGCCCTTTGGGCCCGAGTTTAGGTCCGGCTGTTGCACCCAAGCGCGTTTCTATCCACCACCATATGCGCTGGGTGCCAGTAATTAGACTGTTTTATGCGGGGTGCAGAACGGGACTGCATGAGGTACAGTACTTTACTCGGCTTTTTGACCTAAATTGTAGGATCCCTGAATAACATCGATATCGACAGACTGTCCAGTCGTCCACATGTCGGTGTTCCCGCTGCCCTAGCTATGACCCAGATTTAGGAAGTATTCTGGAGAGGGCATGAATCGTTCAAGTTTGAATTACGCGTCCTTGCTCAACTTATGGAAAAGTACGATGTCTTGAAGTGTATAAAAGGAACGCGGCTTCGTATCCTGCACATGATCTTGTTTCATGGACCACTCAGCATTCTTTACACTCACTCAGTCTTTCATTCACAAAAGCTTGTCTCTCATTATGTTACCACTCATGCTCCTTGGCGCCCTGGCGCCAGGTGTTCAAGCCGTTGCCCTGGCCATGGGTAACACGACCTTTGAGCAACAGTGCGCCTCTTTTGCAACTTCTCTGCGTATCAACGGAGCCAACTCCACCGCCTCCGAGTATGTCCCAGCAGGAACCACCCTGCAGTTCCCGAACGCGGATCCCACTTGCAGTCGTCCCTCTCAGAATGTCACGGCCAACATCTGCCGTGTCACCGCGCGCATCGCTACCTCGCCTCGCTCTGGTCTCAAGTTCGAAGCTTGGCTGCCCGAGAACTGGACCGGCCGCTTCCTCAGCACCGGCAACGGCGCCCTCGGTGGCTGCGTTCAGTACGAAGATCTCGCGTATGCGTCTTCCCTTGGCTTCGCTTCCGTGGCCACCAACAACGGCCACGATGGCATGAGCGGACTCCCGTTCCTGAACAACGAGGATGTGATCGAGGACTTCGTGTACCGCGCCCTGACGACTGGTGTCGTCGTCGGCAAGGACGTTACCAAGTCGTTCTACAATAAGCCCCATACGAAGAGCTATTATCTCGGCTGTTCTACTGGAGGCCGTCAGGGCTTCAAGCAGGCTCAGGCTTTCCCCGAGAACTTTGACGGCATCGTCGCCGGAGCCCCGGCCTTCTCCTTCAGCAATCTCACCTCCTGGAGTTGTCACTTCCTTCCCCTCACCGGCCAGCAGGGCGCGGACACCTTCATTCCCATGACCATGTGGCCGACTATCCACGATGATATCCTGGCCCAGTGCGACGAGCTGGACGGCGTCAAGGACGGCTTCCTCGAGTCCCCCGACCTCTGCGACTACAAGCCTGAAAGCCTCCTCTGCGGCGTCAACAGCAACCAGACAGACGCCTGCCTCACCCAGAAGCAGGTTGAGACCCTCCGTGGCATCTACGCGCCCCTGATCGACGCCTCTGGCGACCTCGTCTATCCGCGCATGCAACCCGGCGCCGAGCTCAGCGGCGCACCGCAGACCTACTTCAACGGACAGCCCTTTGGTGCCTCTGATTGGTTCAAGTACGCGATCCTGAACGATTCGACCTGGGACCCGGCCACGATTACTCCCGAGGACTATGTGCGCTCATCGAGCCTGAACCTCTTCAACGTCGAGACCTGGGACGGCGACCTGTCCCCTTTCCAGAACCGCGGTGGAAAGCTCCTGCACTACCACGGCCTCATCGACGGCACGATCTCCAGCGATAACTCGCCCAGGTACTACGAGCACGTGTCTCAGACGATGGGTCTGGCCCCGGCCGAGCTGGATGAGTTTTACCGTCTGTTCCGTATTTCCGGCCTTGCTCACTGCAGTGGTGGCACCGGAGCTGCGTTCATCGGTAACCAGGCCAAGAACATGGCGAGCCTTGACCCTGAGGAGAACGTCCTCATGGCTATGGTCCGCTGGGTCGAGGAAGGTGTTGCCCCTGAGACTGTTACCGGCACCGCTTTTGTGAACAACACGGTGAGTGCTGGCGTCGACTACAAGCGCCGCCACTGCCGCTGGCCGACACGTAATGTCTTTAAGGGAACTGGGGACTACAAGGATGAGAACAACTGGGAATGTGTGCCGATCTAAAGAAACGGTCTTCGTGGTGACAGGAACTGATCCAGCAAGTCAGCTTGTCGATACGTATATTTACCAGATGGCAGTTCCGCATGTTCGTGCGGATAATTAAAATTATCCACGTACGTAATGTTCTTCCACCTCCCTATAGCCTTTCCATCGTAGAAAGGGAACTCGGTAACGTTGAGTAGCAAATGACGCGGTGATACCCTGTGACACTTCATGCATATTCTTTCAGATGAGTTCAAATTCGACAAGGTCTGTCAGCAAGAGGTGCAGTCATGAATATTCATAATTATTAGTACTAGGTGTATGATCATTCCGACGTTAATCCAAACGGTCCTTGCTTCTAGACCTTTGGCTAGCCTCTTGAGACGGGGCTAATGACTGGGAGCCGACTTCGACAACGCTCATGTCCGACCGAACGTTGAAGGTTCGGCCTCTCCAGTTCACCGTAGAGCCGCAGAAAACAGCCCAAACCCAAATGGGAAGGGCCAGAAACTCTCTTCCGAGCCACGCGGGCAGCCATTCCAAGAAGGACCTCGGAGGTGCTCCACCAGGTGTCGCGGTGCCCCTGGCAAACTTTGGCGTGTTCTCGTCCACTTCAACAGTGTACCCAGCATGGAGGCGGTTGTATGTGAACCAATCACACGCCATCCAGATAGTTGTGAAAGCCGTCCAGTAGAGGCCAAAGGCGCCCCAAGTCTGCGATGTTCCAAAGGTGCTGTGGAACCAAGGGAGAGTGGTAACAGCGAAAGCAAAGTAGCCGCAACAGGTCAGGCTCTCAACACCAGGCTCGACCAAAGTGGCGGCGAGAACGGTCCACTTGCGCGCACGAAGCCATCGAGCGCGGCGGGCAAAGTATGCGTGTACGGACATGCCGGCCATTGGTTGAACTGCAAGGTCGCCCATGACGAGTCCGTGGTTCTTCATGCCCGGCAGACTCGACTTCCACAATAGATCGCCAATCAGGTGATCCTCGCAGATGTACTCGGAGAAGTAGTTGATGCCCTTAGGTAGGTTCTTGTTGGGTAATATCGGGTTTTGGGCTGGGTCCGTTACGGTGTCCAGATGCGATTTGCGAAACATGTTGCTCTTGCCGACGGCGCAAGGGGCTACGCCAACGGTGTTGATCGCGCTGTAAAACTTGGCGTGACTTGTGGCCATGAACATCTCATCGAGTCGGCCTCCGCCTTGGCTCTTCGCATACTCGAGGAACGAAACACTTTGGCCTTTGCCGGTGATGTGTTGCGAGGAGCTAGAGTCGGGGGTTGAATATAGGAGCGTCTGCGTCTCTGATGAAACGTCTCCTCGAGACACCGTATCGACGACGATTGGCAGAAGATGTACAAACTTGTACGGCCTGACTTGTTTACCATCCGGCCCGTATCCCAACAGCTTGTCAACCATCCGACCAGCCACGCCCTTGGCAACCCAGATGTTGCAGTCCATGACCCAGATGATGTCTCCTTTGGCTTCTCGATATGCGCGACTGATGTTTCTGATCTTTGGGTTTGGGCCCAGGTTGTCGATGTGGCCATCAGTGCCATGCAGTAGCGGATCTTCCTCCTCAACCAAGACTCGAGCATCGAAACCAGGGAAATCCTGTACTATCTTCACTAAGACGGGGTACGCCGGATCGCTCTTTTCGGCCACGCAGAGGTGGATCGTCAGCTTGTCGCGCGGGTAGTCTTGTCTGAACGAGGATGCTATGCACTCATAGAGACCATGCTCAAGACCCTTGACAGGACGGATGATGGTGATGTGCGGTACATCTTCTTTGCTCAGAGAGGGGGAGACGGCGGGTCGCAGGCGAGACGAGTACGAGAGGAAGCTGAAGAAGGTCAGTGGATGGTCCGCATCATCTAGAACTACACTCACATTCTGACGATACCAATGGATTGCACTGCATAGACAAATGTGCTCCATCCAGCACAAACGATCGCAATAGCTTGCGCCACGGATGACCAATCTGCCATTATGGGATCGAGGCCGTTTTGCGCTGCGCGATGCGCGGAAAGGGGGGTCTGGGATCAAGGATAGCTGGTGCGCCCAAATACCATGAGAGGGAGGTAACCGCGGCAGAAAGGAAAGGAAAATTCGTCACGAAGTCGCCGACAACATGGCAATGGTCAGACTCCCGAATCCTACCTAGAAGCGAGGAAATTGGAAATTGGCCGTAAGCTTAGCGGAGACGGGGCCGATAACCTTACAAAAGTCGGTAGGACCGGAGACTGGGAGTCGCGTGGCATGGGATTTCGACGCGCCCCACCAAGCTCGAAGCTTGGAATTGTGACCACCAGCCACATAAGGTACCTTGGGAGTAGTGACTGTGGCGGGAGCTCCGATGGAATCTGAGGCTTGAGCCAGACTGGATAAGGTAAGATTCATCATATACCTGTGGGCTATCCCCACCCGAGTTATTCCGGCCGGAGGTGAAAGCCGGGCCTGGGCACGGACCAGTGGGTGAGCGAGCCTTGAAAGAGTCAGACGGCGGGGGCTTTGACGGAAGCGAGCGATGGATACGGCGGAGACCCTTTTCTACGCTGAAATTTTCTGCGAGCAACACCGTTTTCTTCCTTCACCATCCACACACGTCTGCCGAACAGGATCGAGCTGCCTCGAAAAAGTGAGGTGATTCCCGGCTTGCATGGCCCAATTGACGGGTGATCTGTCGGCTGGACGGGTGGAAAATTCCTCAATCAAGTAAGTTGCTACAACGTTCTCTCAATCTCTTCTTCCCTTGGTCCATGAGGTGGTTGCCGCGGTTGGCCCAGCCCTGCTTGATCATCGCGATGACTCTATCGCGCGGTTGAAAAAGGTTACCTTGGCTGCCCCTCCACCTGGATGTTTGCTATGATGACACCTATTACCCATTGTGCGAAGAGTGCGTCTTCATTGAACCTCTGTGCCGCGAAACAATATAGACTACAACGGTATCTGATGCAAACTTTGGACACAATTCTTTCTGTTCTTCAAGCACTGAGCCATGGACAATAAGCTAACCAGTGCCCAAAAGACAGATATGATTTGCTAGCACAATGTCGCAAACTAAAATAACGGCTTCACAGCCGGCGCAAGCTACGATGCCTGCCCAGAGCTCCTCGAAGTCTCCCACGACGTCGCGGCCGCGAGGCCCTCCGTTGCACAAGATTTACGAGTTGCCTGCTCCCATACGGACATTTCCGCTTCCTAGCTTTTATCCGAATAATCCAATTTCTCTATTCCATGTCCTTTTCGCATGGACGAAACAAGCCTTGTTCCCACCGCCTGCTGAACCGTCCACTGTGCACGAGGGTCTCTGGTCCCCAGAATCCAAATCTGTCAACATCATCGACGAAAAGTCCATGCGCGCGCTGTGGGAACAAGGGTTCTACGGCAAGGGCAACTTAAGTCGAAGTGAGCCCAACTGGTTGAAGCGCGAGCATGTCAGGCGAGGCCTGGTGCCAGGCCAGGTCAGCGAGCTGGTAACAGCCAACAGACGTGAAGAGCGAAGGCAGATGAAGTGGGAGAGAGCCAAGACAGAGCAAGAAGCCATCAGACAATTACGACTCCAGGAAGCCCAGTTGGCGACTCAGGTGTCAGGAGATGGCGTAGTCAACTCTGCTGCCCTGGTCACCGAGGCTGACGCCATCCTTGATGCAACGAACAATGATGATCCTGAGCGAGAAGCCTCGACAGACGCGGATACACTGCCTGAGCCACTTGTTCCCCTTAAATCAGCGCTTGCCGCCCAATCCAATCACCTGCAAACCAACGGTGTCGATACGATAACAGTGGCGCCCGTCACTGAGCCCGAGGCTATCGGCCAAATTTCTACCAAACCCTCGACCTTCCAAGGGGCATCTACAGCTATCGAGCCAGCCAAGATTGTCAAGCCCAGTGACTTCCTTCATTCGGCCCAAGATCTTGAGGCTGTCGACGAATCCGAAAAGGCCCTGCCGGTGGATCAAGTGCCTTTGACGCCTCTTCCTGTCGCATGGAATGCTCCCGTTGGCCCATTACAACTGCTGTGCCTTCCCAACTCGCATAGGCTGTCTGCGACAGCAAACTCAACTGAGATTGAGACGTTGAATGGTGGTGCTCGGCAAGTCAATGGCATCCACGAGCCTACTGCGTCACAGGAAGTTGGCTTGGGTTCCTCCGAGCCCCAAGCCAAGGAACCACTCGTCAACAGCATCTCAACTGTATCAGCAAATGCCTCGCCGGTTGGGCCCCTGGAGCTTTTATCTCTCCCCAACGCCGAGCCTATTACCAACGGAACGATGAATGGCGACCACGCCACGATGACGAACATTGATGAGAGCCCCGTTACCGACACTACTCCCTCCGAAACACCAAAGCTGTCGACAATCCATGAAGACGTGGGCGTGAACGGCCATCTGATCAACGACTTGATAACGAATAATAATGGTGACAAGATGCTTCATCAAAATGGTTTGAACGGGGTGGCAAAATCCGCTGTCAGCTCTACCGAGATCCCATCAACACCCAAGTCGGCCAAACGTCGCAAGAGCGTTCGCTTCTCGCCCAAGGTTGAGTCGGCCACATATCAGCTGTCTGATCCGCCTAGCCCCAGACTCGCTCTTTACAACGGAAACAATGGAAAGGCGACACCGCCTGTCAATGGCACGCCATTGGGCCCTAGCGTCTTAGAGACAGATTCGGAAGAGGCGACTAGATCTGATGATATCAAGAAACTTGAGAAGCTAGACGATGTCCCTGCGAAGGCAGTCGAGGTCGTGAACAAGGAACACCTCCAGCTCACATCCGAGGAAGCATTCTTCCTGGCTTTCGGCATGGGTGCTCTACGAGTTATCGACCCTACCACCAAGACTCCGATCCCGACTCCTGAGCTGTTCAATCTCTTTAGACAATACTCCTACTTCCCCCGTCGCCCCACAGAGGAGCTCCAGCCGGATGATGGATTTCTTGTAAATTACGCCGTGTACCATCACTTCCGCTCCTTGGGATGGGTTCCCAGAGCAGGTATCAAGTTTGGCGTCGACTGGATGCTGTACGCCAAAGGACCCGTGTTTGATCACGCAGAGTTCGGCGCCATCCTCCTGCCCTCCTATTCCCACCAATGGTGGAAGGACAGTGACCGCAAGATCCCGCGTAAGACCTGGCACTGGCTTCACGGGATCGTCCGTGTCCTCTCCCACGTCCAGAAGAGCTTGGTTTTGGTCTACGTCGACATTCCGCCGCCTCCTCAATTGGAAGAGGCGATGAAGAAGGGGCCGGCCGAGGTCTTTAAGTTGTACAAGATTCGCGAAGTTATGGTTAAGCGGTGGTCAAGCAACCGCAACAGATGATTTCCCGCATTTCATATTCACGATCTGGGCGGGCGTTGGGAAAATGCATGGAAAAGTTTGGAGGCGAATGATACAAGCCTGGTCTTGGGCATGGTTTGGCGGTGCTGACCATGCATGGGGATCCATGGTTTACACGAATATTGGGGAGTGTCTATGCTGGCATAAGCATTGTACACTTTGTATGAATAAAACGGAAGACTCGGACTACGGCATATTCGGCGACAGCATGCCATTGCCTTTCTTGCTACAGTAGAATACCCCACCATGAATGTAAGATGATGATGAGGCAATCTATCCTGTCAATTCACAATCGTCTCGGTTCACGAGTATGCAGGTTTACCTGGCGTTTGCAGTTTTCTCCTTTTCCCCACGAGTCACGTCTTCGGCCTCCCGCGGGTCAAACGGCGGTGCTTTCGCCGCCCCCCAGCCCCGGAGTCAACGTCTGTTCTCGGGTTGTCCAAGCCTTTACCAAGCATACCCAAGCCAATTCTTTCCTCCCCTTCATCACAGAGCCCCCCTTCACAAGTTGACACCGCACCATGACCACTCAAGCTTTGCATCATGGCACCAAGTGGCCAAGACTCGGGTCCTCGTGTCCTATTCGGACGAACTGCGACGGTCAATTTTATTCCAGGGACCGAGCCAACCCCACACCGCGCATATGTATTGGGAATGGTGGTGTTTTCCCCGACCTCGCCCCGAAAACCCCGCGATCTATCTGAATCCTTCTAGAGATCTAACTGGGCTAGGTGCCGTCCGCTCGCCCGGCGTGCAGGAGGGTAGCTGAGGCTAATGCCGGCGACAGAAAATGGAGTGGTGTGGTGTTCAATACCTGCAGCAGATGATGTGAGTAGCATCTCTGCTCAATTCAATTTCCTGCCAATCCCAACCCTAGCACAAGAGAAAGAAAAAAGATGAGACGACGGGAAAGCTAAGGAGCCACGGGAGCTTTAGTCTGCTCAAAGAGCTAATTTGTCTCGGAGAATCGTTGCATTCCTCCACCAGTTCCGAACGTGGCTAAGCTTTTGGGGGAGTCGGGGGGGCCAGGGGGGAAAAGGCAAGAGGGGTAATCTACTAAACTTTGTCTTCATCCCATTGACGGAAGAAAATTCCCAAGCTACGGCTACTACACCATCGCGAGTGGGGGACAGCCAAGTATCCCAGCATCATCCCAGACCTGCCAGGGGTGTGGAGTAAAGTAGGTACAGGCCGTTTCCATTTGCCTTTCGCCGGATTCTACGGTGTAATACCCTAAGCTTTTGTTGCTCGATCTAATTTTCCCTGCAGGACTTTGGAGATTCGGGTTCGTTTTACCAAGCGAGCGGAGAAAGAAGCTGGGTTCTTGGCCCAGGGAGGTGCGGCTGTCTGCTCGGGGTTGCATCAAGGATTCGAGAGCTTTTCCTTGGCTGCACCGGCGTTCGACCGGGGACGGCGTGGCAAGGTTCAGGTGGTAAACGAAGCTGTCGGTATACTCGGAAAGGGTAAAGGGGGACCTGAGATGGTTCTCGTATATGAAGAGGATGGGCGTCCGGTGCGACGAAGGACGTCTGCATGTGGAGTTGCTCCTACTTCCTCAGCTTCGTCTTCAGCTTCACAGTCATTACCACGCAGCACCCAGCAAGCAGCAGCACCTCCTGAAGAAGACTGGAACCAGACAACCACCA